GCTATCCATAAATTACGCGCAGGTGCAGGCGCTATAGCTGTGTCGAATGTATTATTGCCGGAGTAATACAATAGAGGCAGAAATTCTTGCATATGGACAATGCAAGGATTCTAGCGGAAATGTTGTTTGTAATGTACGGTGTCGCAGGAGTGCTTTTATGTGGAGGCCTCATAACATAGCGTTTTAGATATGACTATTTGGAAAACGTGAATAATTGAGGAATAATGATTTATGTTTAGTATTAATTTAAACATATCCCTCCCTCAAGGACTACGGACCTGTGGAATGTACGATTAGCATAAAGTCCTATTATATGAACCATGCTTCTATACCTCCAGTATTATTTTGTGTACTGTATACATGTCTCCTGAATATTATTCTGCATGAGGTTCATATTTTACAGTTTTTTTATTTGGAGACTATTATTGGCTGAGGATACCACATCTCGATGGGAAACCCTGATATCAGGAACTTAATCGTGCGGGGTCTCTGACTGGAATACGTTTATATGGAAAAGTTAGGCAAACGGGTGCTATTATTTGAAGAATAGAATGAGGCGAAGGATATACACTTCCTTGGAACACTAATATATAAGGAATACATTTTTCGCGACCATTATTAAGTATGTGAGAAGGAGACATTTCTCTAGAGTATCACTGCATAGACAGTAGGAAAATCCAGACAGTCCCTATTGTGGAGTCGTCAAGATTTAAAGCAGGAACGACCATAATTTAAGGGAATATATTTAGTAATAGATAATAGAGTGGATGCAGCGGTATTCTTGGAGTGGTTCGAATCACTAAGCTTTACACATATATAGAAAATAGGAGATGCCTGCGGTATATTTGTATTAACTGTAAAAATCGGCCTTACAGCAACTGTTTAGAGGATAAGCCTCTGTCAAAGGTAATATTCTATGTGGAACAGTGCTGTGTAAGGAGGAAAATTGTTAAAGATAATACAAAGGTTTAGAGAGTCGAATTTCATGAGGAGTAGCGCAGTTGTAAGAATCATACGATTTCACCAATAGAATGGCATGTAAATTAATTCCATTCCAGGAATACGCATATACCAATCATAAGGCTATTCATGCTGTATAAGAAACTGAGGGATACTATCACTAAAAGGGGTTTCAACATACTAAGGTTGCTTATATGTAGGAAGAACTTTTTATAGGCAAAGTAAAACTGTAAGTACAGTAATACGTCGTGTTGCTGTGATTATTCCTTCGCAATATTATTGTAATATAGATTCAATAATTATCC